AGCTATATCCATCGAATATTTCTCTCCATCACACCTGTTGACTTTCTTTAATATCCTCAATACCTTTGCTATCCTTGCAAACGGCAAAAAATCCCTAAATTTGGAAACATTTTCAGATTATAATGTGAGCGGTACACACGCACAGGTGATCGTGCATTTAAAATTTGGAGATAGATATACGCGATTACCCTTACAGAAATTAGATACTTTTTTGTTTCGTTTATGGTCGTTGTTCAGTGTAAATCACGAGCTATAGTGTCACGCGTGAGGTTTCAGAGTTATTAGCTGTTAGAAGAAGTTACCAAGACACAATATTGTATCCCATTAGGTTTAATAATACGATTTTGGGCTTTCACGATAATACGCTTAAAAATCACTTGAAATAAAACACACAAAATAAGTTACTTTAAAATCACATGCCATTCTAATCAGTTAAAAAAACAAATATCCATGTACAATAAATCCGGTTATAAGTGTACGTCCCTGGGTATACTCTAAATCGAGGTGTAGATAACGTGCATTTTGTAACAACCGTAATTTAACGTGAATAATCGTTGAAAGCAATTTGTTAAGGCTACACAAAATAATTTATGTCTACATGACATTCTATCCTGGAGTCATACGAAAGGCCTAAAGTCGGTAAACCATATAAAAAAAGTTATGTATGAGTGTTTTCTGAAACGAATTTTCATTTCTTTTCCCAATTTATTCGGTTGCTCCGTTGTTTTGCTTTTTGAAAGACCGGAGACGTTACATCCGACCGACTTTTAAGCTCAATGTCTTATTTCATTACTTTCGTCGTTCTCTTTATAACGTTAATCAAAAGCAGTGGCATTTGGGGGGAAACGCTCTATTAACGAAAAGTAAAAGTATACAATAAATCTATTAGAGGTAAATGGCGTTTAAATAAGATGTTAGGAAATTTTAAAAAGAAAAATGTTTACATTCGATTTAAATAAAAGAAATGTTTCCCGGATTAATTGGCGAATAAGGCAAAAATGTGCCAAAATCCTCATAATCTGTGCAAAATACGAAAACGCTACCTAAACAGAGGCAAAAGTGACCAAGAATGGTGTGGAAGTGAACAGGCAGATATGTGCTGGCTGTCAGGTAGTGTAGGATAGAGACCGACAAAGGAGGGGATAGTTCGAGAATGCAGCAATTGCCCAAAACAATATTTAGTCCTTTTGGATCCCTGTACCACTGCCAAAAAACTGTAACTAAATATTGGAATCTATTTTTCCAGCCAATGACTACAGCGTTGATCTTAAATGAAACCATACATTGATGTACCTTTTGTGAGAAATACCTAAGATGAAATAAACAAAATATGATCAACAACAATATTATCAGTGTACAATACCAGCAGGGATAGACGGAGATTTGAACGGTGGAGTTTTGATTGGTATATTGTTGCTCTGACCGATAAAGCTTTCTGGTCTGAACAAGTGTCCAGGTCCAACTGTGCTGCGGTTCAAACTGAAGTTAAGGGGAGGCTACTGTATATAGGAAAAACCACAGTGCAGTGGAACAGGGATACTTAGAATGAGGATGTCATCAATAATCACACATCACGACCAGTAGGGCCAGTATGAGTAGCATTTAATACGTAACAGGAAAAAACGTGACATTATTTTGTGTTAATCTCAAATCAAGATACATGTAGTGATATTTTATCAAAAGCTGCAAATTAAACTAACAAAATTATTTATTCTGAGCAATTAGTCGTTACCAACTTACATTTTAGTAATTAATCTCTGCAGGATATCGGATAGTTCACTTCAGCAATAAACTAAGTATGCTTTAAATAAGAACATTTAGTCATAACCAAGACGGTCTCCTCTTGGGATAAGTATATTCAGATAAGAATATTTAACTTTGACTGAAACTTCAGCTAGTATTAAATCGAGTCTGCCTTACATTGGATAAATAAAAATAAAGACCATACAAAGGAATATTTTCGAAATGAATCTCATTTCCAAATGCATGGTTTAAACCTGGATAAAAAATATGTAAAACAAAATGGGTGCCTGTGCCTGTGCAATGGCGTTTTACAATGCGTTCGGGACTAAATTTTACCCTACGGATAACTTTTTGCAAAAAGACATATATTTTTTTTAAAAAACATACATACACCTAAGTTTAAAAAATAATACATAGCATGTATCAAAAAAAAATTGATTGGCTTAACAAAACAATGAAAATATCATGATATGACAATCTGAATAAATACAGCTGTTCATTATCACGTACCGCATGTAGGTTTTTTTTAACATCTGATTTTAATGAGATTGATGATATGAATAAATGACCTTAAGCTGTTTTGTGATTTGCTAAGAGGAGTTGTACAAAAATTATATTGATATGTGCATTCATGACATCGGTAAAGGTTATTCCGACACTATAGTTACGAACAAAATGTCAAAAGATGCTTACCAAGCTTCACACTAAAAGAACTGTTCTTTCAAAATATAGTCTGATCATTTCAAGCAAAATCATAATCTTTTAAAATGAGATGTTAAACAGAAATTAACTTTTCGTTGAATTCAGATGAACTTATACGATTGTGAAAAAACAAAAGACAAAGAAAATAATGTTCCCTCAAAACAAGAGGCTTATTTCGTTCTAGGAAAGGAATTCTATGTTCTCAGAGTTTAGACGGTCCTGTCGTGAAACTCCTCATGTTTGGACGTATGAATTTCACAACCAAAATTTTAACAAAAACAAATTGATTCTACAACTGCATTCCAGCAAACCCTATTACAATTAAATGGTGTTTCACATTTATTCCAAATAAATACAACAAATGTCAACAACAATTAAATTATGACGAAGGAAGTCCTTGAGGGACTTAATGGAAACACCAAAGGGAAAACTGCTCTATGCGAATTAATATTGCTTGGAATACAATTCTCCCCTTTGATTTTGATAAAATTAGCTTACATCTAATGCAGATATTTTTATGGAGATGTACAAGGATTGCTAATCATAGGTTTTTGAACGTCATGACATCAACTCGCAAGGCTTCCTCAATATGCATAATACATGTAAAACTGGGTACATAGAACTTATTTACAATGTATCAAAGCCTGCTTGTTTTAAAGGAAGTCAACACTGCTTGACATATTAGGGTGTTTATTAAATATTTGAATAAGGAAAACAAACGACACCTTAACTAAAATTAAAATTTTGATATTTCTTAATATAATTAAACCAACATGAAAATTAAATTTTGCGTTATTTGCTAAACTGTCTTTAAACAATCAAGGCTTCGAACACTTGTTAAGGTGAATAATAGGTCCTCAACTTATGATATCTGTCTCGTTGGATATGTTTTTGAAGAAATCACACAACGAATATTCAACAAAATGTTACACAAAAAAACACTCGTATTAATTGACAATCCAGGAAAACCTTTTTTTTTTAAATTGTTGACTTGAAAATGATCTTTTCGTCGTTTTCGGTCATTTGATTTTTCTAAATCAGAGTAATGTTTTTATGGGCCAACTTGTTGTTTTGAGCAAAATGAGGACGGGATGTAGTATGTGAAATTCTGTTGGATAATCATTGAGTAATCATCAAAAACCGTTTCACAAGAGACGGACTACACAGCTACACAGTCAGTATATGTATATTTACATCATTGCACAATCTTGATAAGGTAACAATCTTCACGTGTATTTCACAGCAGTAAAACAATAGACCTTCTTAATTAATTCACGACATAAAACAGCCTCGACACAACTACCAGTAGTCGCACACGTGTTGTAAGATACTACTTTGTATAATTGATGTTTCCTGATTGTTACTATTAAGGATTATTGTCTCCGATTACAAATGATCTCAATCAGCTGGAAAAAAAAGAAAAATATTAAGAATAATATTCGACTGACAAGATTTCAATACGAATTATATTGAGTGAGGATGCGTCAGACACAAAAGAATTTTTAAAAAGTTGTCGACTTCAAATTAAAAATAAAAAAAATACATTTCAGATCTTATCTTAATTTATCCTTATACTAATGCACCTAGAACGTTTTGATATATATGATTTTTTTATTTTATTTTGTAAGGCTTATGTACTTTGAATGTATGCTACCTTTCGGATCATTTAAAACCCTGTATATGGTACAAAAAAGATTGCACGTATAATTGGTTAAGATACACGTGGTAATAATTAATAAGTGAACTACAATAAATATATGCATGGTGTTCAGTGAGGTATATGGCTCCCTTGAGTATAAACAAATATTACATAATATAATTATATACACAGTTACAAATTAAATTACAAAAAAATATGTCATTGTTGATATAATTGGCAACATAAGAAAAAACAAACACATGTATATTCTTTAATGATAGGTTATGACAAACAACATGGTTTTGATTTCTAATTGTAAAACACTCATTTTTCTATTTAAAATATTTAAAATATACCGCTTGTATCTGGTTTGAAAATTGTGTGGCATCAGTAGCTTTACTTTTAAACAGCGTGGATCCAATATGGAGGCACAGTAGTATATTGGTAGGACGCCAGGCTCGTGACCGAAGGGTTGCGTGTTCGAGTCACGTCACGGCACTGTTTTGTATCTTTGAACAAGATCATTTATGACAGATACATTGACGGCAAAAAAACGTCTGACCTAAGTATTTCACTACCACAGTAAATTTGCAATTAACAAATCTACACATATATTTCCCCTTTGCCCAGTATACTGAACAGCATACTGTACACTTACTCAGACCTGCATTTTAGCGTATGATCGACTTGTAACAGATCAGAGCATTGACGAATTGCTGCAATTATAATATATACAGTTGAAAGTTTTATATACTGTAGAAACTTCAATCAGTGCAATCATAATTTTCGCAGAATAAAAAGGCGCAAAGGGCGCTTAAATAAGAATTTAACATCCAAGACATTCGTCACGATGTTGTATCTGTTTCCCGGAAAAGCATTCAAGCTAACATTTGTTACACAGGGGGGGNTAAAAGATTGACATAATAATGAATATAAAAAATAATTGCATAATAAGTGGGCACACATTGACAGAAAAAGTTATCATAAATAGCTTTGATGATAATGTCAAAGGATGAAACTATTCATATACTTGATATTATATATTTATTTTTGACCGAGCAAAAAATACAATTTATTTTATATTAATGGCTGGCCTAATTGTCTAATTTTCCTGAGAAAACTAGTAAACGATCGTGTTTTTACAGACATTTCAAGTTAATTACCACCAGTGTAACTAGTTATGTAATCTTACCAAACAATTCAAGCTAAGAACCGCCAGTTTAACTAGCAAATAGTTTCTAGGTATGGCCGCGTACATTGTAATAGGAAATATAAAAAGGCACGGCCAGACCGGGATTCGAACCTAGGGACCCTCCGAACTCTAGTCGGACACTCAAACCAATTGGTCTACCTGGTTTTTGGTAATCTTCCTGACAAGTACCGCTTAACAAGAAAAACGGAGTCAGAAGACATCAGTTCTCACTATTCAATAATTTAGCACTTTTTGAACAGGAACAGGATTAATTGAATTTTCGATTGCAATTATTCTGTAAATAAGTGTTAAGGTTTGCGATAAAACACCGGAACTTTGTAAATTAAAATATATCCTCAATGGCATTCCTCTGTATGTAATAACAAACGAACTTGATTATCTATAATAATGATAATCAATTTACATAAATAGTTTTTGTTTTCTGAATAAACGAAAGTTTATTTCATAAATATTTCAATGATGATATAACTCAATGGATGTTGAGCCAAAAGATAAACAAAAAATAACCTTGGTCACACTGTTAATTTAAAACTAACAGAAATACTTAATATATTCAATCACGAATATTGAAAAAATGATTCATATGGCACTTTTACATATTTAATGTGTATGTGGTCATATCGACCTAAATACAAGGCCCTTGCTGAAGAATACCCTGCTAATGAAGTAAAACACATGATTTCAGCACAGCTGCCGATAGAACCCCTTATCAACATTATACTCCATTATTACAAATTTAGTATATTTGATAATTGGGTTTTGTACCAAAACTTTTTTGTTGATATCCGGGCGTGATTTCCGTGCTGACAACATCCTTATCACGGTCGATCAGAGTTTATCAAGGAAGCCAAACCTGTCGTTTGTTTTTTTCCATGATGGCGGCCATGTTTTGTGAATGCTAGGTCGCTGAGCCAGCGTGTTATAATATTTCATCAGTTCAGGATACTTCGATATGTCGAGTCCGAATCGCACACAGAACGCCACGTGCGGGTAAAGGTACACATCCGCCATTGTGAAATCGTCCCCCACGATGTAGTCGTTGCCTGCCTCGTGGACCTATAAATAGATTGCGTTTACAGTGGAGAATAAAAAAATTGGGGTTACATGTATATAGGCCTAAACGATATATGATCCAATAGAGGTTTTGTATCTTTGTAACCAAACTTCCACAAAATACATAAAGATGATCGTAAGACGCATACGTATGAATACATCCTGTCACAAAGTAATTGCACTGCAACATACCGCTGGTTCGACCTTCTATGACCTTTTTGTGGAGCTAGGGGACAAAAGGATGAAACAACAAACTGAAACTACTTTTTAAGTAGAAGGAGTGGTTCAAAAACCATTTGAGCACGGAACAAGTGTAAAGAGTTGGAATGCCAATTGCGATATTGGAAGGGAAGCAACTGTGATAGGTTTCTCTAATAATGACCTCAAAGTAGAATTATTACATTACAGGAATACACATCATTCCGGGGATATACTTTATACCAGAACTGCCTTGTACACTTCATTATAGAAATATCCATCGTTATAAAAACTACATCACTTCAGAACTATTCCTCATTTTAAAACTATGCTCCATTACATAACTAAGGTTCATTTTAGAACCATGTTTCGTAGCGGTACACACGTAGTTCACATCGATTATGAGGTCAAACAAGATCCCGGATATCCAGATAAATTTAACATTCGAAATGCAAAATTCAATGAGACAGAAATATTTAGCAAGGTGCATATTTTGATTAATAATCAGATATGTCGCTTTCAGAGACACAAACTACACATGAAATATCTGGGGGGTTTCCACAAAAAGGGGAACACTTCTAATGTTCAACAGGAAGCTTTTTTCAAAAATCATGAAATAGTCAGCCAAACTTCGTGACAAAAATAGGATACCACCAGAAAAGCACGGGCTGGTCTAGCGTTGGCCTTGTGAGCGATACAATAAAATGTGATAGTTTCGTTATGTAACAGTGGCGGATCCAGAGGGGGTTTTTTGGCTTCAGGAAACCCCCCCACCCTGAGAATTTTCTTTAAAAATCATATATTTTCACCATTTTCCTCAATTTTTCCCCACATGAAACCCCCCCCAGAAAGGTCTCTGGATCCGCCACTGTGTAATTATTTTCATCAATTTATTGACTCTGTTATTATTTACTCTTTGCAGAACTTACCTTTGTTAGGTATGCCTCCCAACGATTCAGTTCATTTCTTGCAAATTCAAATTTTGTTTCTAGCAGGTCCTGTTAGAAGTATGAAAAATCGTTGAAAATTTAATTGTTTTGTTTATAACAGTTCCTATTATAAAAGTAGATATCGGGGGTTTTTAACCGTTTATGTTATATGTATAAGAGATCGTTTAACATTTTGTTTTAAACTGTTTCTATTATTAGTATAAAATATCGTTAAGAATTTAGTTTTTTTCAATTCCTGTAAAAATATTTGTTCGCTTACAGCCGAGTCGTCAGCTCTCTCTTTCTTATACATATGTACACAGTAAGTACTGAATTACATACTTAATTTGATTTAACTTTCGATTTATTTCCTTATGTCGGAGGTAGGTTGTTTGCTATGTTCTAAATAGCCCCACAACAAACAATATGATAATGAAATACAGATTAAGTAAACAAAAATAAAGCCAAGCTACAGTTTTGAAAACACTCTACAGTAAACAAAAGCTAAGAACCCCTTACGCATGCCTTTGTTCTACAAACTGTTTTCTTCAAAAGCAGTATAAATATCGATTGACAACTCTAAATATTAACAACTAGAACTTATTAATGTTTGTTGAAAATCAAGAGGTATCTCTCGTCCTGTTTCTTTCTTATTTTGTTCTCCCTCCTTCCAAGCTCACATTAGAATTTCACATTAGAATACTATAACCTTTTGCTATTCGTTTTCGTCCATTGTCAGTTCCCCGGCGTCCATTAACTTTTTACCATTTTTCATCTTTAACCAAACATTCTACACAGCAATGCGCCTAATCGTAATGGAACACTCAGCAGATAATCCTGCTCAATTTCTATTATTTTGATGCCTATTTGAAATCAAATATGGGCGTCATGGCAGCCATTTTTGAAAGTCTGTCTACTGAAGCTTATACGCTGAAACTTAGTGAAAATGAACACATACAAAACACACATGGAAGCACGTCTTGAAATGGCTTTAGCTGTCGATAGAAGGTTACAACATATTTAACCAAACGGTTACAACATATTAAACCAAACCAAACTTACCTTATCCCATTTTGTTTGGTCCGTCTTCATACAATAATAGATGATGTTTTCTATCACCGCTTGCTGGAAGTTGTTGTGTGCCTGCCAGGAAAGAGATAATCTATAGTATTGGATGACCGTTCACCTACCACCGAAATACACCTTACTTTTATTCTAAATGGGGAAAACAGTTGAAAAGATTACCGTATCGAAGCACCGTATTCATGAAACCGTGATAGATTTATAAAAATTACACTTTGTCTATGATCTGAAAGAATTTGGTAGAGTATTCGGGCTGAATACCATTTTCGATGTTTAAATCTGGCGTTTTGACCGTGAAACATGTTTCAAGCCAGCTGGAAGAAAGTAGGTTGTAGCACAGAATCAAAGCTTGAGCACCAGAACGGTCTCATGAATACGGGCCCTGGTTTTTTTTCATGTCGGGTGTTATTGTATTATTTTCACGTAGGTGTTATTGTCTGATAAATTTGACACTGATATATTTAATTTCAATGTAACAATTTTCATTTGTCATCCTCAATAATACTCAGTGTGCTATTACATCAGACAAAACGGAACGTAATTATCATAACCCACTACGACATCATAAATGATGAAGAGAGTATTAATGCAGAGGGGTGGGGGGTGGGGGGGGGGGCGAAAAAGGCGATAGTTAAACTGTTAAAGATATCAGCGTATATTTTATCCAAAGATATATCTTACCAGACAGATTATTGTTTTTTTTTACAAAACTGATTATTGAAATAATAATAATAATCATTGTTTATCTTAATGAGGATCATAAGCGATATATAGTCTAGTGGTAGGACGCCGGGCTCGTGATCGAAGGGTTGCGTGTTATATCTTTGAGCAAGATGCTTTACTCCGCTTGTTCCAGTCCACTCAGCTGTAAATGAGTACGTGGTAGGGCAGCGCTAGAATTGTTGAATAATAGCTGTTAGCGCCGAAATGGCAGCTCCGGCAGTTATTGGCTGGTTGCAAAAGATAATAATAATTTGTGAACCGCTTTGGGACGATCTATGAACTAGGTTGTGATTAAGAACCTCGAATAATGATTAGTAGTAGTAGTAGTAGTAGTAGTAGTAGTAGTAGTAGTAGTAGTATGTGTACATATGATAAATTAATATAAGTATACAATATTTCAACGACAGAAAACGAATATTTCGTTGTTTTATTTTCCAAAAAAGCCAATTTCACAAATCAAAGGGGAATAACTCGTCTTGCCTAGTTTAAACATTGTGTGCGCTCACTCGAAGTAGTTCAATGTTATTGAGGGGTGTACGTTAGCATATTGAAACCTCACTATGTGAGTTACTGTGTACAGTCTATTTAAAACTTATTAGACGCGCTAGTTAATTATTCAAACGATAGATTTATAGTTGGTTTGATATGTTTTTATTATATTTATTTAACGTCCGTTTTATTCACACTGTTATAACATAATTAAAATAGAAACAAATACGGCACACCGTCAACCAACCTCGACATCCAGGGGTTACGCTCACGTATACGTACGTTCTCTGTCCCGCCCATTAACTTTGATGTACATCAAAGGATCAAACTAGTCTTCTTGTCTCATCCACAAGGTGATGTACACTCAGCTTCGATTTTGCTATGCTAGCGCTACCCCTGGATGTCAAGGATGACCGTCAACACACATGGACAGGAAATGTGATTTAACTTAATTGGATTTAAATTAAATAATCAATTTAAGTGTTTAATTGTCTAGTTACAGGTCTCGGTAGTTCTAATTCAATTCTTTTGGTTCATTTAATAATACCTTTTGAAACACAGTTCGTAGCTCGACTCAAAACGGTTCACAAATTATCATCCGTGGTTATAGGGCCAATTGTTATTATTATTGCAACCAGCCAATATATATCTCTACTCCCTTGGGACCATACAGCCGGTGTTGTCATTTCGGCGCTCACAGCTAGCATTCAAAATTCTATCAGTTCCCAACCACGTACTCATTTACAGCTATGTAGACTGGAACAGGCGCAGTAAAGTATTTTGCTCAAAGATACAACACAGTGCCGTGCCGTGACTAGAACCCGCAGCCCTACGGTTACGAGCTCGGCGTCCTACAACTAGACTTCCGTGCCTCCTAACATAATAGCTATTATAAAAGTATTATTGAAAGAAACCCATACAATGCAGAACTTTAAAAAAATAATAAGATGAAAGTCTAATTTATGAAAACAGTTTTCTGATAGTATAAATGCGATGGGGCTAAAATTGAATTCGAATCCTGAAACTTCTATCTGCAAATAGTCGCTCTAACAATCTGGGCTATATGTTAAGGAGTAACTCCAGGACCTGGTTCCGTTATATACCAAACTAAATGGGGGCTGGGCGACTAGATGTACGATAAACTGCAACAGACTTCTGTAGTATTTTGCCTTGGACAGGGATCCTTAATTAAGGGGCTTGAGTACATTATATCTTACCTCGTGCATTCGCTGTAATACCTGTGACATAACTGCCCTTTCTTTAGGGATAAGCCTCTTGCCACAGTCACCATAACATCTCTGAAAGTCAAACAGAGGTCAGCAAACGTAGAGGTCAAACTAACATAACAATCTGTACTTAATTACACAGGAAAATAACGCAACCTGTACACATTTTTTAATACCAAGTGATAAGAGATAAGTTTTTAAATAAATAACTAATTCGGTAAGGTCTTGTTTACGTTTCATTTATACGTCAGAACGACTTCTCCTTTTACAACTGTATATATCATCTTTCCGAATATAAAGGATCTTACATGAGTTGCCATTTCATACGAGATTGATGAAACGAGTCTGAGAATTTTTCAATTTAGCCAGCCTCTGGCGAGATAAAATCGAAAAATTCTTGACGAGTTACAAAAATTTCATACGAAACGAAAACGAATGTAAGATTATTTTTATCACATAAGGAAGATGTGTGGCATTTATTCGTGTAAAACGACAATTTTCATGCAACCTTGAAATTTAAAAGAGCCGCCATTTTGACCCCAGTGCGTTAGTTTGTGACGTCATGTACTTGTCCTAAGCGTGACGTCAGAATTGAAACATATGACATGGGTATCTTTACTGGATAACACAGTTCATTATGCGATAAATTGTTATATAAATTGTAGTATTCTATACATGTAGTTTCCCCTATTTGTACCTACTATTTCAATACTGCGTTAAATGTTTCCGTCTCTGCACATATAATTTTGGAAAGACAGATGTTTCAGTAAATATAAGTAGCCTTATGATTTTTTTCCCAAATATTTCCCTTATTTTGAAGATTGCTGTCGTATCAATGCGGTATCTTTTAATATGAAAAATATATATGTATCAAATTGATACACAGATGTTTCCACCGTCAAATAATATCCCTAATATGATCCGGAACTTTCTTCTTCCTTATATCTCCGTTGACAATGCCTCACTTTTGGCCTTTAGTTGAGCGCTCGCCCTTGTGAGGAAGGCTTTGTGTCCTGTCCCCTGGCCAAGACATACTAGAGTCTGGAAAATGGTAGTTTCTACTCCTGCTTAACGCTCAGCAATTTAGGAGTGGGGCAACTGGTTCGCCCGTTGTCAGTATAATGTGACCGGGTGGGGTGTCCTGATGGGTAACTTCGGCAGTATGTTTCAGTGAGGTAGCACTTTAAAGTCGGCATCAGTTCCGCGCTATCACAAGGAGACAAACACGAACATATCGCAGCCTCCCAAAACAAACGCATATACTACACGCATGCATCTTGCACACAGGTGAGGCCGTCCGTAAATGACCATAGCTGTTGATAGTACGTAAAAACAATACTAAACCAAACCAAACCAAACGGTATTTATAAGGATATTAAAGTTATGTTACTTTTATCGGTTGAAATAGATACGTACAAACGCTGTGTATTTTTTTTTTAAACAGCCGCAGTGCGATTAATGTTGCACTTAATAGTACTGTTAATATAAACTCATAAATTACAAAATGTCGGAACTTGATAGTTTATACAAGTAGAGGTCATACGGGGTAGAAAGACGACATCCAATAGAAATTGAAGGGTTGAAGGCTAGTGTTTATTTCAGCAGTGTCATCCCACTCAGCTGGTATTTCAGAAATTAAACATACAATGAGTTTGCAAATATGTGACCTTTTTAAAGTCAAGCGGGTATACAATATTAAATTCTATCGTTCACAGAGAGGAGTACAATCACTTATGACAGTATATTATCTGGTATGCCTCTATGTTGATCGAATTCCTTACAAAGATTGATGACTGAATTTATTATTTCCATAAACGCTATTATTGTGTCGTGCTGACGGTATCCTCGATAGGGCCAGAAAAGTATTATTTGTCATTTGCCTCAGTGACTATGAAGAAACAAGAATTGAATTTCTACTCTATAACCACACAGGGTGTTTTTACGTTCTATGGTGTGAACCTCTAGAGTCAATATATGACCTCTATTTGAACAAAATTATTCATAGTTTACCTCGAGATAGTCACAAATCGCATGAGATTCACAGATGTTTACACCATCGTCTTCAAACGTCGGTACCTGAAAGTAAAAGAAAAAAATATCAGTTATCAATATCTTAATTGAAGAGCCTGAAGACCCCTATTAAGAATGAAAGCGGCTAGTTTAAATCTGGTCGTTACATCTGATTTTAATCAAAATAGATGGACAAATATTCTAAAATAGACAATATTGAATTCGAAAATCGAAGGAGATACAAAATAAAACAAAGTGGCCCAGAGGCATAAAGAGCTATCTTAATTAACAACTTGTAGAAAACACTTTTACCACGTGAATGAATACTTCAGAGGAAGCTGTTTAAAGTTTTTGACATATTTGTCCTCTGTGACCACAAACGTAGCTCATGGTTAGTTTTGTTTGCAAACTTTGTCAGGCTATATCCAAGTTAGCTACACGTAACAGCCAACATTCCTGACTTTAGACATCTGTGATCTTGAAAGAAGTTCAATGTCACTTTAATTTTCAAGCATTGTAAGGCTCCCCTCAGAAAGCCACCAGCCAAATATCATGACTCTATGCCGTTTAGTTCTTCAAAAGAAGTCGTTTGCAGTTTTCGACATATTTGACCCATGTGACCTAAAGCAATGGGTCAATGTCATTTTTTGTTCACAAACTTTGTTGGGATTCATTCAAGGACCATACCAGCCAAAAAATCATGACTGTAGGCCTTTGTTTTGACAAGAAGTTGTTTAAAGGAAAAGGTGCCGAATGGACACATCCACGGCATAAACTCACTTGGTACTTCAGGTGAGATAAAAAAAAATGTAACTGAAATTTAAAATGAAGTTTTAAACCATATTTTGATAGCACAGTTCTGATGTCACCAGTAATCCCTGACACACTGACCAGTAGTCTGAATGTGTTAATAATAAACAAATGTTAAATAAAACATGAGTCAATCAAACCACGAGAAACAAGAGTCTAACACACCACGAGACAATCAGAACAAGAGTCAATAAGATCAAGACTCAGCCAGGACAAGGTTTTATCGGATTAGGAGTTTATCAGTACACAAGTCAACCAGATCAAGCGTCAAATAGATCAGGAACCATTTTGAACAAGAGGCAATCAGATCAAGATTCAAGCACAGGTCAAACAAAAGACGCATCAACAAGAATACTCTTTAAAGAGATCTTTCCTAGCGCAGAGAATCGGAGATGCACTAATTAGAACGAATAAATTCATATTTTTTCTCTGAAGCTCACCCGAACAAGTCTTCAGTCATTAAAGCGTTTACTATTGAACATTTTACTATTGTTATTGATGAGTTAAATATAAAAAGTAAAAAGAAAAAAAAAATATGCGTGGCGATCGACTATAATTCAAACATGACAGTTATGAGTGGTCTGTCATCTGCATGTTTTGCAATTACTGTCAATAAATCATTTGTTAACCCAAAACGGGATACTTCTTGAAACTTATATATGTATTTTTTACAAAATGATATATTAATGTCAATTAAACACGCTTATCGGCTTTGGGGTGGTAAATGGACAGCTAGTTTTGGGGTGGTAAATGGACAGCTAGTTTTGGGTCGGTAAATGGACAGCTAGTTTTAGGGTGGTAAACGGACAGCAAGTTCTGGGGTGGTAAATGGACAGCTAGTTTTGGGGTGATAAATGAACAGCTAGTTTTGGGTGGTAAATGGACAGCTAGTTTTGGGGTGATAAATGGACAGCTAATTTTGGTGTGGTAAATGAACAGCTAGTTTTGGGGTGGTAAATGGACAGCTAGTTTTAGGTCGGTAAATGGACAGCTAGTGTTGGGGTGGTAAATGGACAGCTAGTGTTGGGGTAGTAAATGGACTGCTAGTTTTGGGGTGGTAAATGGACAGCTAGTGTTGGGGTAGTAAATGGACAGCTAGTTTTGGGGTGGTAAATGGACAGCTAGTTTTAGGGTGGTAAATGGACAGCTAGTTTTGGGGTGGTAATGGACAGCTAGTTTTTGGGTGGTAAATGGACAGCTAGTTTTGGTGTGGTAAATGGACAGCTCGTTATGGGGTGGTAAATGGACAGCTAGTTTTGGGTTTGTAAATGGCCAGCTAGTGTTGGGTGGTAAATGGACAGCTAGTTTTGGGATGGTAAATGGACAGCTATTTTTGGGGTGGTAAATGGACAGCTAGTGATGGGTGGTAAATGGACAGCTAGTTTTGGGATGGTAAATGGACAGCTAGTTTTGGGGTGGTAAATGGACAGCTAGTTTTAAAATAATAATAAAAACAAAGCTTTCGTGACACATTTTTTATTTGTATTTCATTTTCAGAAACTAATGTTTGAGAGAAAAAATAGTCAGAACATCCTTTGACTCTAAAATATATTGTCCTGGGTGTAACATTCTTTGTTAATTGATCATTTGCCAACAAATGTCAGCCTCAGTACCACATTTCAGGATCCCCGCACCAATGCCAACAACTGTATTTACGCTTTGAAAACTGTTCATTCCTGACTGACTCTAGCTTTGATATATCGTTTTTAAAAAGAAAATAATATCTTGCAGGACTTCTACGAAAAAAGGAATGATAAAGATAAAAGAAACAAACTCTATCTAAAAGCATTGTTCTGAGTGTAAAAATTTAGCGTGGCTAGAATGGGATTCGTACCCTGGACTTCAGATTGTAACATTGTCGCTCAAACCGACTGAGATAACTATTAATAATATATAATAATAATTCGAGGTTCTTATATACCACTTTATCACAATCTAGTTTGTAGGTCGTCTCAAAGTGATTCACAAATTATTATCCGTGGTTATAGGGCCTTCGCAACCAGCCAATATCTTTCTCAACTCCCTGGGGAGCATACAGCCGGTGCTGCCATTTCGCCGCTCACAGATATCATTCAACAATTCCAACACTGCCCAACCACGTACTCATTTACAGCTGAGTAGACTGGAATACGCGGAGTAAAGTATCTTGCTCAAAGATACAACAACACAGTGCCGTGACTCGAACCCGCAACCCTTCGGTCACGAGTCCGTCGTCCTACCACTTAACTACCGTGCCTTCAAAATAGTCAACAGAAGTGACCTGGACCAACTGTGCTACAGTTATATCGGAAACGGAAGTTAAGGAGAGGTAATAGTATGTCTGACAAACTACAGTACAGCAGGGCAGGGATCATTAAGGGTACAGTAGCACTCGTTCAAGAGCCTACGTAGCACTGATAGTACTTTACGTTCTATGTATAGAACCACGCTCCATATATATCATCTTGCAATAGAGTCTATGTTTATATGTCAATTCGACAACTATTTGAATTGAAAATGTATATGTACTATGGCATAGCATATAATAGCATTGAACTTTTAAAAATGTCTTTTTGTGTGGGTTCACTGACTTAAGTTTTTTCAAAGTTAAGAGTGCCTTTAGCACATACCATTATAGATATCTACTAGAATAGATAGGTTGTAAGTTTTGCTACGAAAAAAAAAAAGTTTCCAGAAATTTTGAATATGTAGCTATTGAAATTCACAACCCACGGCTATACCATCTAAGGATGTGAAATAAATACTCTGATATGTCATACAAGGTATAAATGTTTTGTTAAAACGAATCCTAATCAAATTGGAAATTCGGATTGTATGGTGTTGAACAAAGACCATAAATACTCAATATATTATATAAATACAAATTAGGAAATTGTAATAGAGAGATATAGAATTTAAAAAATAAAACGAAACAAAAAATATAAACATATTTGTGAAATCTGATTTAAAGTAACTCATTTAGCTATTCATTCAGCTTAAAAAGCTTTCAACATTTCTATTCCACGTTCTGTGTTGCCAAAACAACGAGGAAGTGATAAGGTACCCTATCCTGGGTAAGGTGATTTAGTGTGAGACTACCAGGCGGTCTTAACAAAATGTTTGCTGGCTGTGCAAGTAAGGGATCAAGAGTGGAAGAGTGATAGGCCTATTGGATTTCAGCAGGAAGGCTATTAAATAAGAGTAATGACAGTGTCAAAACATTAAGCTAGTATGGTAAAGAAGTGTTACCATAGCGTCAACTCACAAAGCCAGTATGGTAGTATTACTATAGCGTCAACTCACAAAGCTAGTATGGTAAAGAAGTGTTACCGTAGCGTCAACTTACAAAGCTAGTATGGTTAAGTAGTCTCATATGTACAACAACGTCAACTCACAAAGATAGTATGGTAGTATTACTATAGCGTCAACTCACAAAGCTAGTATGGTAAAGAAGTGTTACCATAGCGTCAACTCACAAAGCTAGTATGTTAAAGTAGTCTCATATGTACTACAGCGTCAACTCACAAAGCTAGTATTGTAAAGTAGTGTCACCATAGCGTCAACTCACAAAGTTAGTATGGTAAAGTAGTGTCATATGTACTACAGCGTCAACTCACAAATCCAGTATGGTAGTATTACTATAGCGTCAACTCACAAAGCTAGTATGGTAGTATTACTATAGCGCCAACTCACAAAGCTAGTATGGTAAAGTAGTGTCATATGTACTACAGCGTCAACTCACAAATCCAGTATGGTAGTATTACTATAGCGTCAACTCACAAAGCTAGTATGGTAGTATTACTATAGCGCCAACTCACAAAGCTAGTATGGTAAAGTAGTGTCATATGTACTACAGCGTCAACTCACAAATCCAGTATGGTAGTATTACTATAGCGTCAACTCACAAAGCTAGTATGGTAGTATTACTATAGCGCCAACTCACAAAGCTAGTATGGTAAAGTAGTGTCATATGTACTACAACGTCAACTCACAAAGCTAGTACTGTAAAGAAGTGTTACCTTAGCGTCAACTCACAAAACCAGTATGGTAGTATTACTATAGCGTCAACTCACAAATTTAAAGCTAGTATGGTAAAGTAGTGTCATATATACTACAACGTCAACTCACAAAGCTAGTACTGTAAAGTAGTGTTACCATAGCGTCAACTCACAAAGCTAGTATGGTAAAGTAGTGTCATATGTACTACAGCGTCAACTCACAAAGCCAGTATGGTTAAGTATTGTCATATGTACTACAGCGTCAACTCACAAAGCCAG